ACACTGGCGAAAGTAAGTAAGAGCAAGGAGGGAAGGGACAAAGATAGGGGCAAGAGAAAGCATCACCAAATAACACGTCGCATTGTGCGACTTATTCGGGAAGTACTTACCTGGTTTACTCGCTATAACCATATACTGCCGTTGCTCAGCCCACAAGATGCCAATGGACAAAATGGCATGACTAGAACGCGATACCGTGTGCATAATGGTCCGCGTCTAATTTGTTTACAAAGAAGGTATCGAACTTAGCATCGTAAGTGTAAAGCGGGCGGCGGATTGAAGTTGGGTGGAACGGGACCGCTGAAGAACTGACCTCGCCCTTGCCCTCGCCCTCGCCCTCGCCCTCGCCCTCGTCCTCGAACGGGCGACTCTTCGCCTCCTTCGTCCATGAAAAGAGCGACTCGCCTTCGTCCTTTGATCAAGAGCGACTCCTCTCCTGACGTCCTCTTCGTCTCCTGACGTCCTCTTCGTCCTCACAGGGGCAACTCGTCTCCTGACGTCCTCTTCGTCTCCTGACGTCCTCTTCGTCCTCACAGGGGCAACTCGTCTCCTGACGTCCTCTTCGTCTCCTGACGTCCTCTTCGTCCCCTGACGTCCTCTTCGTCCTCACAGGGGCAACTCGCCTTCGTCCTCACAGGGGCAACTCGGCTTCGTTCTCTCGAAGGGGGACTTGCTCTCACCTGCCGTCCTCGAAGCCGGCTCCCGCCTTCGACCCTCGTATCAACCGCCTTCGACCCTCGTATCAACCGCCTTCATCCCCCCGTGAAAAGCGACTTCATCCCCCGGGCAAAGCGACTTCATCCCCCCGTGAAAAGCGGCTCTCGCCCTCTCGAAGCGACTCCCGCTTTCGTCCTCGGGACGACTCGGCGCCTTCGTCGTCCCCGAACGCGGCTTCGTCGTCCCCGACCACGGCTTCGTCGTCCCCGACCACGGCTTCGTCGTCCCCGAACACGGCTTCGTCGTCCCCGAACACGGCTTCGTCGTCCTCGAACGCGGCTTCGTTGTCCTCGAACGCGGCTTCGTTGTCTTCGACCACGGCTTCGTCGTCTTCGACCACGGCTTCGTCGCCCTCAAAAGACCGACTAGTAATCAGCCTCGGCCGTCCTCGAACGCGGCTCCGCCGTCCTCGAAAGGCCGCCTATCACCCTTGGCCGTCCTCGAAGGGGCCCCGACTCGCTCGCCTTCGCCAAATTCAAATTTTGGGCGACCTGCCCTCTTCAACGCTGTCCTCTCAGAAAGGGAGAAAGTCGCTCTTCCATCAGACTCTCCAAACGACTCGCCCTATTCGTCGTCTGCGAAGCCACTCGCCTCCGCCTTCGTCGTCTGCGAAGCCCTATTCCTCGTCTGCGAAGCCCTATTCGTCGTCTGCGAAGCCCTATTCCTCGTCCTCGAAAGGAGCGTCTCGCCTTCGTCGTCTGCGAAAGGAGCGACTCGCCTCCGCCTTCATCGTCTGCGAAGTCGCTCGCCTTCGTCCTCCTTGAAGTCGCCTTCGTCGTCTTCGAACGCGGCTTCGTCGTCCTCGACCACGGCTTCGTCGTCCCCGAACGCGGCTTCGTCGTCTTCTCTTCGAACACGGCTTCGTCGTCTTCGACCACGGCTTCGTCGTCTTCGACCACGGCTTCATCGTCTTCGAACGCGGCTTCGTCGTCTTCGAACACGGCTTCGTCGTCTTCGACCACAGCTTCGTCGTCCTCGAAAGGCTGACTATCACCCTCGGCCGTCCTCGAAAGAGCGACGTCGCTCTCCTCTCAGAAAGGGCGAAAGTCGCTGTCCTCTCAGAAAGGGCAACAGTCGCTCTCCTCTCAGAAAGGGCGAGGGCGACAGTCGCTCTTCCATCAGACTCTCCAAACGACTCGCCCTATTCGTCGTCTGCGAAACCCTATTGCTCGTCTGCGAAGCCCTATTCCTCGTCTGCGAAGCCCTATCCCTCGTCTGCGAAGCCCTATTCCTCGTCTGCGAAAGGAGCGACTCGCCTCCGCCTTCGTCGTCTGCGAAGCCCTATTCATCCTCTCCAAACGACTCGCCTCCGCCTTCGTCGTCTGCGAAGCCCTATCCCTCGTCTGCGAAGCGACTCGCCTCCGCCTTCGTCGTCTGCGAAGCGACTCGCGTCCGCCTTTGTCGGCCTCGAGGGGCGACTCGCCTCCGCCTTCGTCGGCCTCGAAGCGACTCGCCTCCGCCTTCGTCGGCCTCGAGGAGCGACTCGCCCCCGCCTTCGTCCGTCTGCGAAGCGACTCGCGAGTCGCCCTATTCGTCGTCGCCTCCGCCTTCGTCGGTCTCGAAATTTCGAGAGGACGAAGGTTCGGAGTGTTGCCCCTCGAGGACGAAGGCGGAGAGCCGCCTCCTCAAGGACGAAGGCGGGGATGAAGGCGAGCCGCTCCGAGGCGGACGAAGGCTGGAGGCGCTTCGAGGCCGGACGAGGACGAAGGCGGATAGTCGCCCGTTCAAGAAGGACGAAGGCGGGAAGTCGCCCTCTCCGAGGTCGGACGAAGGCGGTTCGAGGGGACGAAGGCTGATAAGTAGTCGCCCCTCGAGGACGGTCGAAGGCTGGAGCCGCTTCGAGGTCGGATGAAGGCAGCGAGTCACCCTCTTTCGAGGCGGACGAAGGCGGATAGTCGCCTGCTTGGAGGACAGCGAAGGCGGTGACAGCGTCTTCGAGAGGGGCGAAGGCGAGCGAGTCGCCTGCTTGGAGGCTGATAATGGCAGCGAGTCGCCCTCTTTCGAGGTCGGTCGAAGGAGGAGTGTGGTTCGAGGTCGGCGAAGGCTGGAGCCGCTTCGAGGCGGACGAAGGCTGATAAGTAGTCGCCTGCTTCGAGGGGACGAAGGCTGATATTCGCCCGTTCGAGAGGCCGGATGAAGGCTGGATCCGCTTCGAGGGGATGAAGGCTGATAGTCGCCTGCTTGGAGGGGACGATGAACGCGGCGGGTCGCCCCCGTTCGAGAGGGACGAAGGCGGATAGTCGCCCCCGCCTCGGGTCGCCATTGGAGGACGGCGGGCGGTGAGTCTCGAGGACGAAGGCGGGGATGTCGCCCTCTTCGAGGACGAAGGCGAGCCGCTCCCTCGAGGACGAAGGCCCGTTCGAGGACGAAGGCGGCGAAGTCTCCCTCTCCGAGGTCGGATGAAGGCCCGTTCGAGGACGCCCTCTTTCGAGGCTGGACGAAGGCTGGAGCCGCTTCGAGGGTATGAAGGCGGTTCGAGGGGACGAAGGCGGTTCGAGAGGGACGAAGGCTGATAGTCGCCTTCTTGGAGGGGACGATGAAGGCAGCGAGTCGCCCGCTTGGAGGCCGGACGGAGGAGACAGCGTCTTCGAGGACGGCGAAGGCGAGTCGCTTCGAGGTTGGACGAAGGCGAGTCGCTTCGAGTCGGACGAAGGCGAGCCGCTCCGAGGCGGACGGGCGAAGGCGGGTCGCCTCTTTCGAGGTCGGATGAAGGCTGGATCCGCTTCGAGGCCGGACGGAGGCGAGCGAGTCGCCCGCTTCGAGAAGGACGAAGGCCCGTTCGAGGGGACGAGGACGAAGGCTGGAGCCCCTCGAGGTCGGATGGAGGCTGGAGCCGCTTCGAGGTCGGACGAAGGCGAGCCGCTTCGAGGACGAAGGCGGTGAGTCTCGAGAGGATGAAGGCGAGTCGCTTCGAGGCCGGACGAAGGCGGTGAGTCTCGAGGTCGGACGAAGGCGGTGATCAGTCGGCCTTTGAAGGGGATGTCGCCCCCTGTCGAGGTCGGACGAAGGAGACAGGGTCTTCGAGGTCGGACGAAGGCGAGCGTCGCTCGTTCGAGTCGGTCGAAGGCGGAGACAGCGTCTTCGAGACCGGATGAAGGCGGACAGTCGCCCCCTTCGAGAAGGACAAAGGCGGATAGTCGCCTGCTTCGAGGTCGGACGAAGGCGGATAGTCGCCTGCTTGGAGGCCGGACGAAGGCGGAGGCGAGTCGCTCCGCAGACGAGGACGGCTGATAGTCGCCCTCTTCTCGAGGTCGGATGAAGGCGGATAGTCGCCTGCTTGGAGGGGACGAAGGCTGATATTCGCCCTCTCTGAGGTCGGACGAAGGCGGAGAGTCTCGAGGCGGAGGGGATGAAGGCGGTGAGTGGTTCGAAGGCGGATAGTCGCCCTCTCTGAGGACGAAGGCGAACCGCTCCGAGGCGGACGAAGGCGAGCCGCTCCGAGGTCAGATGAAGGCAGCGAGTCGCCTGCTTGGAGGGGACGAAGGCGAGCGTCGCTCGTTCGAGGTCGGATGAAGGCTGGAGCCGCTCCGAGGCGGACGAAGGCGGGGGGAGTCGCCCTCTCCGAGGACGGCGAAGGCGAGCGAGTCGCCTGCTTGGAGGCCGGACGAAGGCGAGCGAGTCGCCCGTTCGAGAGGACGAAGGCGGTGAGTCTCGAGGACAAAGGCTGATAGTCGCCCGTTCGAGGCCGGACGAAGGCGAGCCGCTCCGAGGACGGCGAAGACTGATAGTCGCCTGTTCGAGGCCGGACGGAGGAGACAGCGTCTTCGAGAGGGGCGAAGGCGGATAGTCGCTCCATTCGAGGCCGGACGAAGGCGGGGATGTCGCCCGCTTCGAGGTCGGAAGAAGGCGGTGAGCCGCCTCCTCAAGTGCGAAGGCGGAGATGTCGCCCCCGTTCGAGGACGACGAAGGCGGTGAGTCTCGAGGACGACGAAGGGCGAGCGAGTCGCCCTCTTTCGAGGTCGGACGAAGGCGAGCCGCTTCAAGGCCGGACGGAGGAGACAGCGTCTTCAAGGCCGGACGAAGGCGAAATAAGTCGCTTCGAGGTCGGACGATGAAGGCAGCGAGTCGCTTCGAGGCGGAGGAAGGCGGTGACTGCGAGCAACGATTGGCACCTCGAGCGGCGATTGGCACGATCATGGGACACAACAGGGGCAGATCAAGAAGGACGACGATTGTAGAGGTCACGAGCGACGACTGGGGAGGTCACGAGCGATGTCTGGAAGATCATGAAAAGAAAATACGAACAAAGTAACAGCCATTAAAAACAGCTGTCGTACCACAAATTCGGATACGGGGAATCGAACCCCGAGCTGCCGCGCAGACAATACCAGGGACGAAATGAGAGGCGGCAATGTTGGCCGTTACACCATATCCGAGGTGAAACGGTGTGGGGAGAAGGGGACAAGTATAGGGGAGGTGGGGGAGAGGTATAGAGGTGGGGAGCTGGGGAGCTGGGGGTGGGGGAGAGGGGGGGAGCTGGGGGTGGGGGTGGGGGTGGGAGGGCGAAGGAGGGAAGGAGGGTATAGGTGGGGGAGGGCAAGGGAAGGGGGAAGGGACGCGGGCTGTGATCGCGGGTTGGGCCGAGGACTCGGAAAGCGGCCACGTCTCCAAACGGGGAGAGTGCCAGCGCGTAGCGGGCCGCTACTCGCCACCCGCTACTAGCGGGTGGCGGACAGACCGGGGCCAAAAGAGGGTGCGCGGATACGGGTGCAGGAGGAGTGCGTGAATAAGGGCCAGAGCGCGTGGAGGGGAGTGAAGGCTAGGAGTGGGTGTGGGGGGACGAGAGGCGAGAGGAGGAGCGGGAGGGGCAAGTTAACGGCGGGACATGGCTTGAAAGGCGGTGCTCGGCTTGGAAGTCGGGACGCGGCTTGAAGGGAAGAGCGACGCGGATTGTAGGATTCGGGCTGGGGCTGTGATCGGCGGCACGGACGAGGAGAGCGATGGTCATGAATGAGGAGGGGGACGGCACGATCGAAGAGGGTGGCGGGCACGAATGAGGAGGGAGGTGAGGCTATGGCGGACAGACTTGAGCCGTGGGGGACAGACTTGTGCGGTGGGGCGGTAGACCTGGGCGGTGGGGCGATAGACTTGAGCTGCGAGACGGAGGACCGTGGACCACCGTGGAATAGACGGACTGAGAGCAGAGTGCTTGGGCTTGTCCGAGGCGAGGGAGCGACGCATGGGGGGAAGGAGAAGAGCGGCGCGTGAGACGAAGAGCGATGGATGAGAGGAAGAGTGATGCGGGCGGGACGATGAAGAGAGAAGCGATCGAGCGTCCCGGATCGGATGTATGCGCGTGTGGATGGGCGACACAGTCAAGTAGCGTCCTGCGCCCACTACGGTCGGCGTCCTGCGCTCACCACCGTCCGACGCGCTCAACACCGTCCGACTTGCTCATCACCGTCCGACGCGCTCTTTGTCTTTGCCGTCGCCCGTGTCCTATACATGTCGTCGCGTGTTCTATACATGCCCTCGCCCGTGCTCTACACACGTCTCACGCCTCCCTCGACGCTTACACGCACTCGTCTCCTACACACGCACTCGTCTCCACACACGCCGCATACAGCCCTCGCCACTATCGCTTCTCCACCCACCACTACTGCCCTGGCTCCTTCCCTCGCGCCCCGCCTTTTCCTCCCGCTTTCAAGTGTCGTTCGCCGTCCTTGACCGTCGTTCCCCGTCCCTGACCGTCGTTCCCCTTCCCCTTCCCGCTGCCCCTTTCCTTCGCCCTTTCCCCTTCCCCCCTCCCCCTTCCCCGGCGAGCCCTAGCGGGCACCCCTTCCCCCTTCCCCCGGCGAGCCCTAGCGAGCACCCCTTCCCCTTCTCGGGCACACTTCCTCCCCCCTCCCTTCTTCTCGTCACTCTGCTCCTCCAGACATGGGTCGGTGGCGTAGTTGGTTATCGCATCTGTCTAACATGACCCAAGGTGCTATCATGCATGATGTTTCCACAGAAGGTCCTCAGTTCGATCCTGGGCCGACTCACTGGGCCAACTCATTCCCGATTCTGAGCTGGCTTTTTTGGTGTAATCGTGGTCGTTAACGTTGGTTTATAACATGGTCGCTAGGCTTTCTCGTGGTCGTTGGAGACGACGGATTATGACCAAGTACTTATCAAGAGCCTTGATAAGTGCTTGGCCTACCAGGGCTCTATGCTCCCCCCCCCTCCCCTCCCCTTCCCCGCCTCCCTCACACCACCCTTCTGTCTCACTCGCTCGCCCCGCCTTCTCTCTCCCTCTTCCCTTATTCGCTCTTCGCCCTCGTCGTCAGCCCCTGTCCCCTTATTCGCCCCCGTCTCCCTTATTCGCCCCCGTCTCCTTTACTCACCCCGTCGCCCCGTCGCCCTTCTCTCCCCTCTAAGAAAACGAGGCGACGCGGTTCCCTCTAAGAAGGCGAGGCGACGCGGTTCCCTCTAAGAAGGCGAGGCGACGCGGTTCCCTCTAAGAAGGCGAGGCAACCCGGTTCCCTCTAAGAAGGAGAGGCGACGCGGTTCCCTCTTCGCCCTTCTCCATCACGCACCCCCTCCCTGACTCCCTCTTCGGGCGGGCGACAGAGTCGACGGCGCTACAACGAGGGCGACAGAGTCGACTGACTCCCTCTTCGGGCGGGACTGACTCCCTCTTCGGGCGGGCGACAGAGTCGACGGCGCTACAGAGTCGACGGCGCTACAGCGAGGAGGAGAGAGTCGACGGCGCTACAGCGAGGAGGCGGGCGCTACAGCGAGAAGACGATAGGCGAGAGGGGCTCGTCGCCGGCAGCGAGAGGAGGGAGGAGGGATGGGGCGGCGGCGGTGAGGCGAGAAGGCGAGGCGGGCGAGAGGGGGGCGACGCCTTCGGCGCCGGGCTCGATGGGCTCGTCGCAGCGAGATGGGGCGAGAGGGGGCTCGAGGTCGTCGCCGGAGCAGCGAGGAGGCGACGGCTCGTCGGCGAGGCCAGGGAAGGGGCGAGAGACGGCGTCGCCGGGCTCCTCGTCGGCGAGAGAGGGCCGGCGAGGCGGTCAGGTGAGACGCGGCGAGGGGGGCAGCGGGAGGAGGCGAGAGGGGGCTCGACACGGGGCGTCGGCAGGTGAGAGGGAGATGAGAGGGGCGAGAAGGGGGCGGCTAGGCGAGAGGGGAGAGGGAGAGGCGAGAGGGGGCGACGCACTCGTCGGCAGGTGAGAGGGGCGACAACGAAGGCGCCGGGCGAGAGAGAGGGGCGAGAAGGGGCAAGGGAGAGGGGGCGAGGAGGGCGAGATGGGGTGAGAGAGAGAAGGGGGCGACGGCTTCGCCGGAGCAGGAGAGAGAGGCGGGCGCCGAGGCGAGAGGAGTGAGGGGAGAGGCGGGCGAGAGGGGAGAGGAGAGGGGGGAGAGGGCGACGGCTCGTCGCCGGTGCGACGGGCGGGAGGAGTGAGAGGAGAGGCGACGGCGAGAGGGCGAGGCTCGAGAGGGCTCGAGATGGGGGGAGGGGGGAGAGGAGGGAGGAGGGAGATGGGCGAGAGGGGGTCTGGCGAGGCGAGCGAGAGGAGAGAGGAGGGCGAGAGGGGGGGGCGAGAGGGCCGGGCTCGAGAAGGGAGGGCGAGAGGGGGGCGAGAGGGCGACAGAGTCGACGGCTCGTCGGCTCGACGTCAGGCGGGCGAGAGAGAGGGGCGCCGGTGCGACGGGCGGGAGGAGAGGGGCTCGAGATGGGCGAGATGGGGCGAGAGGAGGGCGAGAGGGGGCGAGATGGGAGGAGGGAGGGCGAGAGAAGGGGTGAGGAGGGAGGAGAGGGGTGACGGCGAGAGAGGGCCAGGCGAGGCGAGATGGGCGAGAGAGGCGAGGCGACAGGGGCGAGAGGAGGGGCGAGAGGGAGAGTCGACGGCGCTACAGCGAGGAGGAGGGAGGAGGGGCGACGAGGGGGCGACGGCTGTTCGTCGTCGGAGCAGCGAGAGAGGGGCTCCAGAGGGGGGTGACGGCGCTACAGCGAGGAGGCGGGCGCTACAGCGAGGAGGAGAGGGGGAAGGGAGGAGGCGAGAGGGACAAGAGGGGGGTGAACAAGGAAGGGGAGAGAGAGGAGGGGCAAGGGAGAGGGAGGGCGAGAGGGGGGGCGAGAAGGGGGCGCTGTGGGAGGAGCGAGGTGGCGCCGAGTTGAGAGAGTCCTCACCAACACAGAATTGACAATATTTGTGGCAGATTCGATGATTGTTGAGGCAGATCATTTGATGATTGTTGAGGCAGATCATTTGATGATACTGAAGGTAGATCCGATGATTGTTGAGGCAGATTTGACAAGCCTTCTTTGAGGCAGATTTGACAAGCCTTCTTTCGACCTCTATTGAACGGGCGACTCTCGCCTTCGCCTTCCTCGAGAAAGAGGCGACTCTCGTCTTCCGCGCGACTCTTGCCTTCGTCCTTCGTCCGTCCTCGAGCAGGGGGCGACTCCTCGCCCTTCGCCTTCGTCCGGGCCTCAGCCGGGCGACTTCTCGCCTCCGCCCTTTGCCTTATTCCTCTCACGACGACTCTCGCTCTTCGCCTTCATCCTTCGACCTCGAACGGGCGGCTCTCGCTCTTCGTCGTTCGACTCGAGAAGAGGGGTGACTTCTCGCCCTTCGTACGGGCCTCAGCCGTGCAATTCTCGCCCTTCGTTCTTCGACCTCAAGACCGGGCGAAGCTCGCTCGCCTTTGCCTCCTCGAGAGGCGGGTCTCGCCTCCGCCTTCGCGAGGCGACTCTCGCCTCCGCCTTCGGGAGGCGACTCTCGCCTATGTCTCCTCGAGAAGAGGGCGACTCTCGCCCCCTTCGTCTTCGTCCTTCGAGAAGGGGGTGCGACTATTGCTCGCCTTCGAGAAGAGGGCGCGAGCTCGCTCGCCTCCACGAGGAAGGGGGCGCGAGGTCGCTCGCCTTCGAGGAAGGGGGTGACGCTCGCCTTTGCCTCCTCGAGAAATAGGGGCGACGTCCTTCGCCCCCTTCGAGAAGGGGGTGCGAGCTCGCTCGCCTTCCACGAGAAGGGGGCGCGAGTTCGCTCGCCTTCGAGAAAGAGGGCGCGAGTTCGCCTCCGTTCTCGAGAAGGGGCGACGTCCTTCGCCTTCGAGAAGGGGGCGGCTCTCGCCTCCTACTCGAGAAGAGGGCGACGTCCTTGCTCGCCTTCGCCTTCGAGAAGGGGGCGACGTCCTTCGACCTCGAACGGGCGGCTCTCGCCTTCGGCCTTCGTCCGACGCGAGAAAGAGGGCGCGACTGTCACCTCGCCCTCCGTCCTCGAGAAGGGCGCGAGCTCGCTCGCCTGGAGGGGGGGCGACTCTCGCCTTCGTCGTTCGAGAGGGGGGCCTCGCTCGCTCGCCTCTGCGAGACAGAGGGCGACTCTCGCCTTCGCCCTTCGAGACAGAGGGCGACGTCCTCGCTCGCCTCCAGTGCGAGAAGGGGGCGACGTCCTCGCCCTCCTACTCGAGAAGGGGTGACTCGTTCGCCCGCCTTCGAGAAAGAGGGCAGACGCCCTCGCTCGCCGTCTGCGAGAAGGGGGCGCGAGCTCGCCTTCGAGAGGGCGGCCTTGCTCGCCTTCGAGAAACAGGGCGACGTGCTCGCTCGCCTCGGCCTTCGCGAGGCGACTCTCGCCTCCGCCTTCGGGAGGCGACTCTCGCCTATGTCTCCTCGAGAAGGCGACGTACTCGCTCGCCTTCGAGAAGAGGACGACGTCCTTAGCCCTCTGCCTTCGAGAACGAGGCGACTCTCGTCCTCCGCCTTCTCGAGAAGAGGGCGCGACGTCCTCGCCTCCGCCTTCGAGAAGAGGGGCGACGTCCTCGAGAAGGGGCGACGTCCTCGCTCGCTCGCCTTCAAGAAGGGGGCGCGAGCTCGCCTTCGAGAGGGCGGCCTTGCTCGCCTTCGAGAGGGCGACTCTCGTCCTCTGCGCGACTCGCCCTTTGTCCTTGGGGCCTGACTCGGCAAAATAACATTTAAAGGCCTGGATCCTAATGAATGCATGTCTCGTTTTGTAAGTCTTAGTCTGTACTTATGTAAGTACTTATCTGTACTTGTGTACTTATCCGTACTTATGTACTTATCTGTACTTATGTACTTATCTGTACTTAAGTAAACTGTGATTTTAGAATGTTATGTGTGACAACCGCCGTGAGTGTGACATGCAGACTGTCTCGTGCACCGTTGGGACTCTCTCTCGTGCACCGTTGGGACTCTCTCTCGTGCACCGTTGGGACTCTCTCTCTCGTGCAGGTACCGCTGCTTCGCCACTCGTCTTGTTTGTTTTTCGACTAGAGCCTTCCTCTCTCGACTAGAGCCTTCCTCTATCGACCAACGATTTCCTCTCTCGACCCGCCACTCATCTTGACTACTCTCTCGACCAGAGCTTCTCTCTCTCGACCACAGATTTCCTCTCTCGACCACAGATTTCCTCTCTCGACCACAGCTTTCCCCTCTTGACCACAGCTTTCCCGTTGCGCGTCATTTAGCGTACTTTGGACTCTTCGGCTATGCGTACCTCGGACGCTGAGTCAGCTATGCGTACCTCGGCCGCTGAGTCAACTATGCGTACTCCGGACGCTGAGTCAGCTATGCGTACTTCAGACGCTGAGTCAGCTATGCGTACCTCGGACGCTGAGTCAGCTATGCGTACCTCGGATGCTCGGACGCCGGACACAGGGAACGCGTTGATTCTCTCGAGGTTACCAAGCCTGCCGCTCGATATCCTGTATGAGGTGCGTGTCCGTTGCTCACTGAGCATCGCACATTTCCCCGATCGCGCTATCCATCTCCCCGATCGCGCTGTCCATCTTCCCGATCGCACTGTCCATCTTCCCAATCGCGCTGTCCATCTTCCCGATCTTGCTATCCATCTTCCCGATCGCGCTGTCCATCTCCCTCACGGTGCCACGCAGATACTCGCCTCGCTCCATCCCCTTGATCTCCTTCACCTTTCTCGGACGACCAAAACCTGGCGCGTCATCGTGCTAGGTCGATCGGCCACATCCGCGTGGACGCGCAGCTTTTCCTCTCAGATCAAAAACAGGCCCTCCATTCCTGACG